ACAACCCTGGCACAGGTCACAGTAACAGCACAGGGGACTTCTCAAGGCTACCTTGCTGTCATAGCAGACACTTGCTGAGCCCTTGGGCCCTGGGGGTCAACTTCTTCCAGCTCAGAAGTCCAGAATTGGGAGTTTCCTTTTTATGCTCTTCATCTACTCTATTGTCATTTCCTTCGTTTTCTATCTATCTATCTATCTATCTATCTATCTATCCATCCATCCATTTATCTATCTGTCAATAACAAGCTTTCTGTTAATAACAGTCAAGTTAAGGACAAACGTCCTTCCCTGAAGTGGAATTTGAAGACACTAGGCTGACTGACTGTAAGCGCTGAGCTGGGTAGCAGTAGCAGGAACCAAACTGAAAGAATCCCAAATGAAGGGTCCAGAGAATCAAATCTCACAACGCTAGTCATTTATGAAAACTTTAGAAAAATAAACAAAACTTTCTAGTACCATAAAAAAAAACCAAAATGAGAATACAAATGAATATGAATCTGTTTTCAAATTCCTTAATGCAGATACTCAGTGTCCTATGGAAGCCCCTGGCCCCAACCTAGAATATCATGGGCTCTGCAATGTGATCTCATCTCTGAGAGGAACAGTATCTGCTCCTCTTCACGGGAGAGGCCTATTAACCACTTTCCACACCTGAGGCCAGCAGAGGCTCTCCTTGCTAACAGACAGACTTAGCCTGGATGGAAAGGCAAGCTGAGGAAGTTAAGTCTGGGAGGAGACACCTTCATCTGCCCTAACAGCTTCTATCGGGTCATCCAAGCTGACTAACCACAGATGGGCCTCTCAGATGGGGGTACTTCTGAAACCCAGGCAAAGATTTGACATTCTCGGGGTGTCAAAGCCATGGTCCCTCAGGATAAGATGAGGACTACGAAAAGTCAGGATGGAGATGTTTGACCTCTCCATAAGGGGCTCAGGCACCCTTTGGCATGATCGTGGTGGTAGCTGCAGGGGCTTCACATGAGAGACCATCATGGGAGACAACCACCCTAAGTTTTCCAACACGACAGAAGGAACTTCTATCACACCCCAAGTGAAATACAGACACACGTCTTCAAAAGGTAGTATCATTTTATTTAGTGTTAAGGAAATTTTACTGCTTTTTTTTTTTTTTTTTTTGAGACAAGGTCTTATGTATCCCAGTCAGACTTAAACCTCCCTGCACTGCTGAGGATGAAGTTGAACTTTTGGTCACCTTGCCTCTGCCCTCAAGTGCTGGCTGGGATTACAGTTGTGCATCGTGACGCTCAGTTTATATAGTACTGAGGTGGGGGGCTGGGAGGATCACACCTAGTGCTTTGTGACTGAGTTACACGCCTAATCCCTTAGGTATTTCTTAAAAGCAATACCAAGCAAGTTCAAAAGTCCCAAAGCAACATGCAGGGAACAGTAATTCTGTAATTAAAACAAACAAACACCATTGAGCCTTCAGGTGGAGGGAATTTTGTAGTTCACAAAGTAGGTGGAAGAATCCAGACTTGGGGCTGGTGTGGGTTCACGTTTCCAATCTAGGGCAACTGATTGATTTTCAGTCTTTTGGGATCCTTAATCAGGACCCCAGCCCACCACCCCCCACCTCTGCCAAAAAACAAAACAACCCCCCCCAAAAAAAACCTGGGAGTGGTAGCATGCTGATATTCTCAGCACTTGGAAGATAGAGGCAGGAGGATCAGGAGTTAAAGGTCAGCAGTAGCCATAAAGCCAGTGCAAGGTTAACCTGGGCTACATGAGAACCTGACTTAAAAAACAAAGACAAAAACATCACAAAGCGGGGTGAGGGTCTGGCTGAGGGTGTAACTCAGTGGTAGAGCATGGGATTCCCATGAAGAAGACACCGGGTTTAATCCCCACCGCCAATAAACCAAAGGGAGAGGAACCCAGGGATGAAGAACTCTGGCCTCAATAGAGCGCATAGCAAAGCCTCTCTGACGCCTGTGAACTGGGAAGCTGGAGGCACACAGCTCATCTATCATGCATGTGCACTGCTGTTGAGCATGGCACAGAGCAGGGCTGCTCGCTCCTTCCTTCTGGTGTGGAAGGAAGGAGAACTAACGTACTGGAATAAAACAGGGAGGCCAGGCCATGAGGCAAAGCCAAGCATAAGATGATAGGAAGCAACTGGGCAGAGGGCTGACTGTTTTTTAGGAAGCTGACCTCCAACCGGAGTCTGCTGGATTTATTCCAATGCCCCCTCAAATCCTGGCTGGGCTTTCTGGAGGCAGCCAGGCAAGGGCAAGGAAAAAAGCCCTTTTTTTTTTCCTGGAGTGCAGGCCCCTCCAGTGGCCAGCCTCAGTAGCTCCAGAGCTCTCCAAGTCACAAACCTCTCTCTCACTGCAAGCTTGGTTTCCCTTGGTGTCTTCCTTCAGCCCCCAACTGCATATTCAAGACCAGTTATTAAGTAGGTGTGGCCTCTATGTATTCTGTGAGTGACAGCAGTTAGAAATGCAATGTTTTCCAGTGAAGCCCTTGAGGTAAATTATCCTTCATTCTCCAGAGTTCCCAAGTGGCATTTCAGAGCACAGGAATTCACTCCACCTAAATGGTCCTCTCTAGTACTAAGTCAGTGACATGCCAAAGGTCCCAATCGCAGCAGAGACCTCCAGGCTGGCCATTAACAAGGCAGTTAGTTCTCCAGGACAACTCTTTGGAGAACCAGTGCTTGCCCCCATGCACTTAGGTTATCACAGTACAAATGCATTTTTATCAAGTAAAAAAACATGATCCAGAACAGACATATACATGTACATTTTCAGAGTTCAAGTGAGTATGTTTTTTTTATAGGCATATTAATGAATTTTACAACACTAAAAAAAGAAAAATTACAAATCATCTCAGAAATCTGCAGTGGTCCCTAGTATTGTAGGAGAGATTAAATAAAAATAGGTGTGGATCATTAACAGCTAATTAGATAAATCAAGTTATAGTCCCACCCTTCAGCTTAAAGTGCTCCAGTGTAACCAATGGTCCTCATCTTCCGGATGACGAGGACATACACAGAGAGATTCTTCATTCATAACTACCACCACCTCCACCCTGTCCATTCCACTGGCCTGTGATTGCCCCTAGCAGAGATGTTAAGATCATTACAACCAGGAAGAAAAAAAAAAGAGCAACCTGAAACACTTTAATTCTAGTATGAGGTGTCCAGCAATGAAATGGGGCTGATATATATATATATTAAAAAATACAGCAATCTACCAGGCATGACGACACATACCCATGATCCCAGTATTTGGAAAGATAAGGCAAGAGGGATGAAAGTTTGAAGCCAGTGAGATCCTGTCTCAAAATAGCAGCAACAACAAAACTCCCCCCAAATCAGGAAGTAGCAATCAAAAAGCAAGTGTGGGATGGGGATGGCAGTGCTCGATACCACTGAGCACTTGCCCAGCCCTAGCCCAAGGATCCTTCATCTTGAGGAATTGGTGGACTCTGGCTACTCCCTTCCATGAACATTGTCAGGAAAGCCAATAAGACAAGCAAATGGCACATGGCCAAGGGACCCTTCCTAAAGTCATTTTCTACCTCACAGAAAGGCTGAAGTATCTGCTTAGTCCTCTCGCCAACAACAGAACCCTGTTAGCTTGAGAGGCGGGACTCTGACCATTTTTCCCTACTTAAAAGAAAAGTGACTTTTTTTAAAAAAAAAAAATGTGCCATTGGTGTTTTGCCTGCATGTACGTTTGTGAGGGTGTTGGATCCCCTGGAACTGGAGTTACAGAAAGTTGTGAGTTACCATTCAGGTGCTGGGAATTGAACCTGGGTCCCTCTAAAAAAGCAGCCAGTGCTCTTAACTGATGAGCCAGTCTGAAAAGTGCCTCTTTAATTCCTTCATGTCTTCAGAAGATGGCCCTATGGATCTAAAAAGCAGTGTGGATATGTGCCTGTGGGTGTGGTGGCATGTCTTCGTATGTGTGCATATGTACATATGTGGGGTGTATTCACCTATGTGGGATCATATGAAGGGCAGAGGCTTAAGGTAGGCAGAGGCTTATTAAGACAGGGTCCCTCACTGAATCCAGAGTTCCCTGTTTCAGCTAGAACGGCTGGCCAGTGATCCGCTGGGCTTTGCCAGTCTCTGCCCGCCTTCATCCCTCTGAGCCCACTCACAACCCCCACCCAGGCACCTGCCACTACTGTTGGCTCTTTTGCATGGGTGCCGAGAATGCAAATACAGATTCTCATGTTTGCAGTGCAAGCCCTTTACCCTCTAAGCTGTATCTCCCCACCCACAAATCATATTTTTAAAGCTAAAAGGCAGAAGGACCTGAAAGAGACAATTTGTTCCAAGTCTAAGAAGCATGCTCAGAGGTTTTCGTAAACAGTTGTGCTCCAGGCAAGAGGCATCAACACAGCAGTAATCCCAACACTTGGGAAGTGGGGGCAGGAAAATCAGAAGAAGGCTAGTCTCAGCTATACAGTGAGTTCAAGAGCAGCCTAGGCTATACAACAGCCTATCTGGAAAACAGACCAATGCCCCCTAAACAAAAACCCTACCAAAACAATCCTTGAGTCTGAGAAGTTCACAAGACAAAAATATTTAGCATCTGCCACACCTGAGCTGCTTGAAGGCCAAGAAAGGAGGTGAAACAGTATCCATAGTATAGTCCCTTTCTGATCTCACCCTAAGCCTGGCTTCATGGAGGATACACACTTGATGATCTCCGTATCAAAGGGCGAAAACCCCAGTGTTAAAATACATTAGTTCCGATGGTGCCTCCTGAATTGATGGCTCAGAGTCAAATCTTACATTTACAACTTAGTTAAAGGCACAGTGGCATTTAAAATTAAAATGCTAGGAATGTATAGAAAAGATTCATTGTAATAATTAACCTGGTTTCAACTAGGAGAATAAACTCTTGATAGACAATGCACACACCCAGTGATGAGAGCCTGTGTGCTGGTTACTACGAAGACCATGCCTTTGACCTTGAGAGTTGGTGGAAACAAGCTCACAAAATATCTCCATTTCCTTCCTGCGGTTCACATCTTTCCAGCCTTTTTGCCAAGCTGAGTCGGCACTCGGAGGATATTGGGGGTCTCCTCCATGACTCTGACTAGCAGGTTGTCTATGTAGTCTTCCAGCTCCCGCACCTGAAACTCCTTCTTGCTGATGGTTTCCTTCTGTTTGAGGACCAACTGGATCAGCTCATCATGGGTCAGCTGTGCATAGGCAAAGGCAGGATCCGAGGGCTGGTATTTCTGTGGGGAGGGGAGGAAGAGGGAAACAGTTACAAGTCAGCAGAGAAAGCAGACTTCTGAAAGGAATGCAAAGAAATTTCAGCAGCCATTGGAGTCTCTCTAACACTCATTTTGTTATTCTTCAGAGTCTCACTATGTAGCCCTGGCTGACCTGAAACTCACTGTGTACACAGAACAGGCTGGCCATGAACTCATGGAGATCCGCCTGTCTCTGCCTTCCAGGTATTGGGATTAAAGGTTCATGCAATCACAGCTGGCTTGGAAATCCACTTTCAACATGGGCTGAAAACAGGTTGCTGACTAAAAAAAGTACCACAGACTTTGTAGACTGCGTAAAGGTTGCTTACATGCATTTTTACTTACTTTTTATTTTCTTTTTGCTTTATGATCCTTTGAAAAATGTAAAAACCAGGGGCCTGGGTGTAGCTCAGCAGTCGAACACTTGCTAGCATGTGTAAAGGCCCTGGGTTTGATCACCAGCATTTAAAAACCAGGAACTATCCTTGGTTTTTAATTCCTAGACCTCTGGTCTTGACCTGGGCACATGTTTTCAAGAAATTTAATAAGGGGGCTGGAGAGATGGCTCAGTGGTTAAGAGCACTGGCTGCTCTTTCAGAAAACCCAGGGTTCAATTCCTAGCATCCATATGGTAGCTCCTAACCATCTGAAACTCCAGTTCCCAAAAACCTAGCACTGTCTTTTTAGCTTCCTCTGGCACTGCACGCACATACACACACACACACACACACACACACACACACACACAGATATACATGCAAGCAAAACAACCACAAACATTTAAAAAAAGGAAAAAAGAAGGAATATAATGAGAGCTTGGTGGGGAGGAGGGAAAGGAGGAAGAAAGCAACGTCAGATGGCAGTAGTAGTCACATAATCAGCAAGCCTCAGGCATAGTGTGCACACACTGGAGCCCAGCCACTTGGGGGGCTGAGGTAGATGAACCACTTGATCTCTCAAGTTCCTGGAGTTATACAACATGCAGAGCTGGAACAAGCCCCAAGTCAGAGTGGAAAGAAGATGTGGGGAGCACCCTCCTGCCTACACTGTAGGGTACCAGCTAATGAAGTCAGTCTGCTACCTTGAGGCACCCCAATTTGAGACTCTACCAAAACTTACTCCACACTCTCAAAACATGTATAGCTAAAGCCAAGTGCCACCAGGCCACGGACCTCACAGGTCACCTGAGTACACACACTCTGGGTACATAGTGGCCTGACCCAAGGACTGACTGTTTCTGTTTCTGAAGGGAGCACGTATCCGGAACAGTTGCTTTTAATGAGCATATATCATCTGGGCCAAGGAGACTCTAACTGCAAGCCTGAGAGTTCTGGGCCAAAAGGAAGCGAGAGACAAAAGACTCAGTAAGAAGTAACAAGTCACATCAAGGCCTTAGGAGGGAGTAAAAGGAAGGGCCTGGCAATCTGCACCTCAGATATACAAATTCAAGGAAACAAGACTCCAGAACAACTCAAGGTGATTTCTGCCCCCAGAACTCCAGGGCAGTAACAGGTTTTGTCACTTTTATCTTCTACCAGGAAGACCAATAAGTCAAGAACCTACCATCTCCAAGCAGAGCCAGGAGCCTGAACTAACAGTAATAGTCCAACAATAGCACAGAAGCCCCTCCCTGCCCCATCCAGAGAGCAAAGTGCCCAAGGAGAAGAATCCAGGGGAATTCTCCTTTCATTGGCTGGCTTAGAAACAAGAAAAACAAGCGCTGTTTTCACATACACAGTAAGCATGAATCCAAATTAGGGGGCACATGAATAATGCAGATGCCAGGCTATTTCTCCCTTCCTCACCCCTGCTTTTGTCCTTTGAATTTGTTGAGGACATCTATATGGGGGGGGTTTGACCTTTTTTGGTCACGATACATAAGTGCTCTACCCCTGCACTCTGTGTGTGGCTTCCAAAACTAGATTCGAATTGGGCAAGATGGCACACACCTGTAATCCCAGCACTTAGAAAAGAGGTTAGCCTGAATCACGAAGCCAGCTTGGCTACAGTGAGACACTATCTCCCAAACAAAGCAAAACAAAAAACAAAAGAAGCTAAAAATCAGATTCAATGAAAAAGTTTTATGTCTAAGAAGTGTTCTGGACTTGGATACACAACAATGTGGATGCATTTAACACTACTAAATTATGTTTAAAATGAGGCTGGGCTATGGAGGCACACATCTTTAATCTGCACTCAGGACACAAAAGTAGACACAGGTCTCAGGAAGTTTGAGGCCAGCCTGGTATACATCAAGAGTTCTAGGCCAGTCAGGGCTACAGAGTAAGACCCTGTCTCAAAAAAAAGTATGATGGAAGCCTTCATATCATGAGTTTTGTCATAATAAAAAAGATATCCAGCCGAGCAGTGATGGTGCACGCCTTTAATTCCAGCCCTTTGGAGGCAGAAGCAAGTGGATCTCTGTGAGTTCAAGGCCAGCCAGGTCTACAGAACAGCTAGGGCTGCTTGTTTCACAGAGGACACCCAAAAAAGGTGTCTATTGATGTTTCACATAAAGAAACATACCCTTGAGGTTTTTAGATTACACCTCTACAATATAAATGTTTTGTCAAGAAGTACTAATTAGTGGTTGAGTGTACAGCTTGGTTGACGATGTATATGTTTAGCAAGAGTGAGGCCCGGTGTTATTAAATCCATAACTCAGTCCCTCTCCATCTCTTCTCTTCGACACGGGGTCTCATGCAGCCCATGCTGGCCTGCAGTTCCTGGTCCTCTGCCCCCACCACTCAATTCTGGGGAATATGAGTGTGCGCCACCACACCCGGCTTTCCCTTTTCTTTCCTCTTTGCTGTCTTCCTCTTCTTTCTGAGACAAGGTCTCATGTAGCTCAGGCTGACCTCAAACAAGGATGGTCTTGAACTGCTGATCTTGTGGTGGGATTACAAGCACGTGGTACTACAACACCCAGTTTATGTGGTATTGAGGATCAACCCCAGGGCTTCATGCAAGATAGATTTAATAGAAAAATTTAATTCCAGTACATTTTAACCATTGCTGTACTACTAGATATTTATGTTATTTTCAGCTTTACAATCATATACAACATTTCTTTAAAAAGATTTGCTTGAATTTTAAATATGTATCTGGGCATTATCTGTGTACACAAGTGTATGTGCCCAGAGGCCAGTCTGGAAGAGATAGAGGATGGAAAAGGAGCCTTGTGAAAATGTCTTCTGGACAGGAGGGCCTTGCACTCATGAATACACAGCAGCAGCAGTTTATAGGAAGACAGGACAAAAGGTAGGAGAAGTATTAGTCAGGAAGAAAAAGGGCACCCGCAGAAGCCAGGTTGGGGCTGGAGTACCAGGAGGTGAACATAATCACAATACATTATATTGTCCTGTGATACTGTCAAACACACAAAAATGACTTTTTGATGGAGGCCCTAAAACAGCAGCCAAGGGGGGAAAAAACAAACAGAAAACATTGTTGCAATGACCCTACTAGCTTTTTTATTTACTTTAGCTGTGTGATTTTCTCTTCACAACCTCTCTTATTTTGAAGTTATTTTTACAAATGCTGCTGTATGCTTAGTACAAATCTGCTATTCTCCAGTAAGCCAACAGCAGTCTCTCAAGTGTTTTCTATATTTACCTAGAATATTTACCTGGGAGGGTTCAAGACCAAGAGATTTACGGCAGGTCAAGGGCAGCAGTGGGCACACGAGTCATGAAGCAAAGTGAGAAAGGGTGCCTCTCTTTGGTCTTACTCAGTCCCAGGAGATAAACCCTTGATTAAATGAACGTTGAAGGGGAAATAAATCAAGGGCCTTGCTTACTTTCTGAAAAAGAGGCATTTGCTTCTCTATGGGCTCAATGCCTAATACATCAGTAAAGTCAATCAGCCAACCAATCACAAATAAATAGATAGACAGTTACAGATAGACAGACAGACAGGCAGACAAGGGGCTGGAGCATCAGCTCAGGCTCAGCAGTTTAAGAGAATCTGCTCTTACAGGGTTTGGCTTCCAACACCCACAGGGTGGCTCACAACCATCTTTAACTCTAGTTCCAGGAGACCTAGTGCCCTTGACTGTCCTCCATGGGTACCAGGCCCACCTTTATGTGCCTATACATACATGCAGGCAAAACACTCATATACATGAAATAAAAATAAATACAATCAGAGAGTCAGAAAGCATCCTGCACTAACAGGAAGTGGGAAGGGGAAACTGCTAGATGGCTACATGTCATTATGTCATCTTTATGTTGTCCTGTAGCTCAACTTCCTAGTAAATATCAGGAAAATAAACAAACAAACAAAAAAAAACCCTTTCTGGCAGAAAAACTAACAAATGAACAAACAAACCTCCTGGGAGATATTGTTGCTGTTTCTACTGACAACTATCACACCAGCAAACCAAGTAGGTAAATGGAGTTACACCAGGTACAAAGTGTCGGGGCTAAACCATTGTAGGTACATAGTTTGGTCACTGGTGATTGTTAGTATTCGTGCATCTGTATGGTATGCCCTTGGGGTTCTGACAGGGTACACTATGTGCATATTCACTGTGTTCCTTTTTAAAAGGGCCCCCGTCCACCTCCCATCGCCCTCCCTCCTTCTCCTTCTCTCTCTCTGCTTTCCTCCCCTTTTCTCTCCTGCTGCTCATATCCTCAGAGATGGTCTTCCCCCTCCCCTTCTTCCCTTTCCCATTCTCCACCCCCCAAAACAACAACAACAACAACAATCCCTCCATGTGAGCTGCTGCAGGGCGACTTTCTCTGGAGCCATTTTTGTCGTTGTTGTTGTTTTGTTGGTTTTTTAAAATTTCAACAGTGGCATCTCTGAAAGCAATGTTGCCTTGTTGGCCCACTTTACAAGGAAAGAGGTCAAGGACGGAGCTAGGCGATGCTAAGTTGTTTTCAGCAATAATTATCACTGCTGAACCACTTTTACTCAAGACTCCGATCCAAAATCCAATGAATGCTTAACCCAGCTCCTGGTGACAGAGGTACAAGGAC